ACCAGAATGACTACTAGGCTGACTTAATTATTAGAAGGTTTGGCAGATTTGCGGTAAAGTTGGGCGGGTAATATCGACGCAAGTGTGATTAAATTCATGGCGCGAGGTGGGGCGTTTGTGGCTTAGTGTTTAGGGTGTTGGCTTCCGGTAAAGGCCTTCTCTACTACGTGGGTTCAAATCCTGCCGAACGCCTCGATTTTTTCACAAGAGGGTCAACTCGAATTAAACAAATGTGCCAAACCTCCTAATAATCAGATTTAAGGAGGGTGAAGCGGATATACGGAGCCAGTTACTAGTCGATACAATTATGGGCTTGAAAATATTAATTGATGATAACGTCTAACAGCAAAATTCTAGCACTGAATTTTAGATCAAATATGTCTCTATTCTAGCTCACATCCAAAGCCACGCGCTAAAGCACCTATCAAAAACAAAGAAATGTTGATGAAATTTTCAAGAAGATTAGTTTCAATTAGTAAAATGAGACAGCATGCCTACAGACAACGCCACAATGCGCATAGACTGGCCTGTCACGCCCACAGAACTGCAATTAAAGGTTTGTCGCAGACAATGTCGGTTTGGTCAGGTAAAATGGAACTGATTCGTCTAAGTAGAGCACTGTCACAAAGCAATTAAATTAAGGTTATCATTTTAGTCTATGATGAAGAAACTGTGTTATGACAAAGTTGATCAAAAAGCCTCTGCATAGGAGCAAAGCGGGCTTTATAAAAATAGTAATAAGCTAACCTTGGTAGCGCCCACTTGGAAGGCCTCAGAGGCCAACGTTCCGGGGCCCTCGTAGATAACACCCGTGTCATCGGGACCCCAGCTTCCTGAGTAGATGTCGATGTAGTTTCGACGATAGGACAGAGCCTCAGCCTCAACTCGATCCGTGATTCGCCCATCTAACATCCGAATACCTGTTAGGCAAAAGATCGGAAACTGAAAGTTTCAACCTAAGCATAGACTGCAACAAATAAACACTAAGTACACATATGAACGTCTGGACCACAAAGTCGCAGCTAGGAAAAATTATGAAAGCGGTGGGGGGGGAGGGATTTCGTCGAGGTATGTAAGCTTTGGGGCCTTTCCATTGCCCGCTACTGGTGTCTGCATAGTTGAACTAGGATTACCACTAAGTTTGAAAACGCTCCAACATAGACAAGAATGACAAAGAATGCGATTATAGACAGAAATGTGGGTGGATCTTTTTCTCAATAACGCCACCCATGGCAAAAATGGTAACGGTTGAGCAGGTCGCCGAATTTCATGGCGCCGATGAATTCTGTTTTTCAGCAATTAAGCAGTTTAAATTTAGTCTGCAAAAAAAATTTCCCAAAAATGTAATCAGAGAGCCAAATTTCGGCAAAAAATTCAGACCCGCAAATCGAAAAAATCTCAAAAGCTGCCTAGAAAAGCCCAGTTACACTGCATACAGCAACAGATTTGGGTACATTCCAACTATTGCCCACCCAGTTTATATTTTTAACGATGGAAGGGCGCTTTCTAATTGTGTTATGGGAAACACGCGTCCTGTTGTGCCTTGGAGCTCAATCTCGAGGCCAGCCAGCTTCCCTGCGGCCTACAAAGTCCTACGGTATTACGTAAGAAAAGAACACGACATGGTCAAACCGAATTCCGGATTTGCAGATGAAGACGGCACTGTGACGAAACCACCGGAAGAGGGAGCAGGATTACCAGCCTCCTCTACCGTGGGGACGAAGCAGACCACCAATTGCCGTCACTCCAAGCCAAAATCCCCACGCATGGCCAAACAGCGACCGGAGAAAAATCGATCAGCCCAGGGCCAAC